AAACAATAGCTGTAGGCATTTCTGTTATTTCCATTCTCTGTACACAGTGCGTGTACTCATAACAAGGCTCCAAGAGTATACATGTGAACAATGTAAAACCGTTTTTCATGTTTAATGAAAGCCTAAACATTTCATTCGTTAGTAATAAATTAAACTCAATGTATTTATGAGGAGCAAGGTGTGATGTGGAGGTATTTGCTAGTGCATCTGTGGTGCCATGTTCCATAGGTGTTAAGCCACCCATTTGACTCCATCAAACTAAAAAATCTTACACTTACGAGTAAATGGTAAAGCCTTTTGATAACTGTGCAGAAAGAACCAGGCTTAATTGTGTGGTCAATATGAAATCTTCTCTCCTTTGTAGATTTTTTTTTCTTATTTCTCCATTTCATTTATTTTTCTGCAAAAAAAAAAAAAAAAAAAAAAGACTGAAACAGAAAAGAGGAACATCCATTACTTTATATTTCCTTTATGAAAATATTGTTTTAAAGAACAGAATGGATACAGAGTGCTGTACATAACAAAGTATAAAATGCTGTTAATAAAAATCAATAATTTGACATGTCTGGTGCAGCTATATTAAAATTATGTCTCACTTCCTGGAAGCTTGAGAAATATATATTTATATTGCCACACATTTTGAGAAAGTTAATTGATGTACAAAAGGATGCTTGAGAGCAACACTAAAAATTTAAGACATCTATATATTTATAGTTTTCTCATGAGTGTGGAGATTATATATCTAGAAAAAACCCCCCACTATGTCAGAAAGAGAAGAGTCACAGTTTGACTCAGGTCCGACAACAATGCTCTCGATCCCCTCCCCCTCCCACCCAGGTAAGGAAGGAGAGAGAGAAAAAGAGAGAGACTTGGCTGGATTGAAAACTAAACTACACAGCTTTAATTAAACACTAATGAATGATACAAGAAAATATATACAATTATATACAGATATACTCAGGTGTGGGCAAAAGCCTCTCGCCTCCCCCCACCCCAGCAACTCCCACAGCACTTCCCTGAACTGGGAAGAGTCCTGAGGAATCCCAGAGCTGCTGCTGGAAAAAGCAGAGAGTTATGGGGGTCAGAGAACTCGAGCCTGAGGATCGACGGTGATGGATGAGCAGAGTCCTCCCTGGACGCCGGCCATGGACGGAAGAGAAGGGAGAAGAAGAAGGAAGGAAGTTGTCTTCTGTGATCTCTGACCTTCCTTTGAGCTTACGTAGATATATGGGATGGAATATCTTTGGCCAATTTTGCTGTCTGTCTAACTCAGCCTCCTACGGGGGGTCACAGATCTCCCCGTAGTGTCTGAGCCGGCAGAGTGCAGGTGCAGCCTTGAAGCCTCAGTAGTTAGAAAAACATTCCACTGTCTTATCAGCCTAGCAGAACACACTTGCTAGTTACAAGAAAGCTTACTGAAGGAAAAAAAAATGAGTAAAAAGAAAAATTGGCTTCATCCTGGCTCAAACCAGGACAAACTTAAAATTCAGGGAAAAATATATAAAGAGATTGATGGAATAGAGTTTTTAAAAAAATATGTCTGGGGAGAAATGCGTACTATGGATGGTCTTAACAGTGCCATTTAACCCAAATGAGTCAGCAAATAGCCTTAAAATTAAAAATATGACTGTGTTCCAAAAATGTTTGTCCTGTCAAGCTTTATTTCTATATTTTTAATTTATTTGTCATACAGCACTTAGTCTCTTTAGTTATGTACTTAATTTTTACTACTATACTACTACTATTATACTACTGTAATTAGATTAATTAATCATGTATTACATAGGGTGAAATTCTGGCTTAGACCTCTATAGGTAAGTATAGGATAATAAAAGAAAAGTGAATGTACAGCCTACTAAGGACTGTACATAATGCCAGACTGTAAGAGAACACATTGGTATTTTAGAGGCTTGTATTTTTCAGAAACATCAAAGTGTGTGATATGACTCCTACTTCAGAGGCAGAACTTCAGGAACTGTCCTAGGCCTGAGGTGTACTTTAAGGAATGCAACATTGAAGTAATATTTCTGTATGTTTCATGGAGGCTTATGTAATTAAATTACACTGATGATAAATTAAAAATAAACTTTTCTTAAATAAACTTGTTTAGCAGAAAACTAACAAGAAATGAGGCTTATCAAAATTGTTTAACACTTCGACAACATAACCTGAATGTTCAAGATGAAGTACATTGCAATGTAAGTAAAGAATTACAAGATAGCAGATAACACAGAACACCAAAGGACTGAGATAAGGTAATGGAAAACAAATCTCTTCTGGACCAGGGCTATGGGAGAGAGGGGAGTGGGTTTGCCAGAGGGTAACCTACAGCAACCTAGGACTAATCACATCCCAGGGAAGAGATTTTACATGTTAATTTCAGACCCTTTCTGTAATAAACTAGCCACTAATCGGAGCATGTGCTGAAGGCCATTAGTTATATAATTGAAAGGTGACAAATGAGCAAGTATTGCACAATTGTCTTTGTTCTAATCTGCATAAAAACCTGCAAAAACCCTGCAAACCCTCTGAAGGGGTTTGCAAACTATCACCTGGCACGTCTTTCTATACAGAACTGGACAAAAAGTTTAGAAGGTGGATCTTGACTCAGTGTGATCACTGACTCCTGCACACCGTGGACAAACCTAAACCCTGATTGAGAGACACCACTGAAATGCGTATGTATTGACCACCACTGTGTGAGCATGACAAGAGCTGTGGCAGAATTTTTGAGGGCTTTTGTCAGGTCTTTGTCAGGGCAGATGCATTTGCCACACGATATCCAAGAAAGCTCAGAGAACAATCTTGTTTCTTACCACCCCCTATTATGAGTTACGTCCTTTGTACTCTAAAAACTATCTAGATACACAACAAGGAAAAAATAAATTACATGCATTTCTGTGAGCTACACAGCAACACTAAGATTTTGTATTGGTGCTTCTGCTTAACATCACTTCAGAATCCTAAATGTGTTTATTCAAATATACTGCAAAGAAAGCAGGATATTATATTTTTTATACCAAAGTCTGTGAAGAGAAAACCTAAATTGTACAATATGTTGCATTCTGAAATGATCAGAAAAGGAACAATCTAAATAACCCTTCATTAAACATCTTTTAAAGCCATCTGGAGACACTAAAAATATATGAAGCATCCTCTGCTTACATTAAGCACAATATAAATCCGAGCAACTACCTAATGAAACTAAAAAATCCTTTATGGGGGAGATTTAATTTAAAAGAATTTCAGACCCTGTGACGGAAGCATGGGATGCTCCTTTACCATCTTCATGTTAAATTCTGTGTTCACAGCTTCAGAGGCAGTGCCATGATGGAAGCACAATGCCCTAACACAGCACATCCTCCTTAAAGTAGAAGACAGCCCCCAGGAAAAAGGAAAGTGTATATATGGATGGAAAAGAGCTAAGCTCATTTGTAGGGACCAGGAGTGCCACAAGTTCCCCAAGGCTCTAGATTTCTTTTTGAGTAGGAGGCAGCTAAAGGAAACAGCAAATGAGGGGGAGCTTGGAACCAGTACAGGCTGTCATGAAAAGTACTCTGTAATTCAAATATGGCATTGACTTAAAGATCCACCTCAGATCAGCTCAGTCCTTCTAATAGTGCAGCTACTTGAAACACAGAAATGGCTTATGGTCTGAGGAATTCCATAAATCTTAATACTAATGATTAAGGATCTTGTCATCCCACTTTGTCATCTCTGTTTCAGCGTAACTGGATTTGTTCCTTGGCCACTAGAGTATCAAATGAAGTGTCAAATGTACATGGCTTTTGAATACATCAAGGGATGGTGATTCAACCATCTCCCTTGGCAGGCTTCTGTAGTGCTTGACCACTCTTTCAGTATAGAAATTCTTCCTAATTTCTAGTCTAAACCTCCCCTGCCACAACTTCAGGACATTTCCTCTCTTCTATCCTTATTTTCTTGGGAGAAGAGGCCAACATCCACCTCACTATGACCTCCTTTCAGGTAGCTGTAGAGGGTGATGAGGTCTCCCCTCAGCCTCCTTTGCTTCAGACAAAAAAGCCTCAGTTCCCTCAGCTGCTACTTGTATGACTTGTTCTATAGACCCTACAACAGCTTGGTTGCTCTCCTCTGGACACACTCCAGTAACACAATGTCCTTCTTAGTGAGGAGCCCAGAACTGAACACAACATTCAAGGTGTGGCTTCACCAGTGCTAAGTACAGGGGCACATTCACTTCCCTACTCCTGCTGGCCACACTACTCCTGATGCAGGCCTGGATGCCATTGGCCTTCTTGGCCATATGGGCACACAGCTGTCAACCAGCACCTCCACGTTCTTTTTGGCTGGGCAGGTTTCCAGCCACTGCCCCCCAAGCCTGTAGTGTTGCTTGAGGTTGTTGTGACCGAAATAGAGAATCCAGCACTTGGCCTTACTGAATCTCACACACTTGGCCTTGACTCATCAAAGCAGACTGTCTGGGTCCCTCTCAAGAACCTTCCTGTCCTTAAGCAGATCAACACTCTCACCCAACTCGGTGTTGTCTGCAAACTTACTGGGGGTGCATTCAGTCTGCTCATCCAGATAATTGATAAAGCTATTGAACGAAACGGGCTCCAAAAGCTGAACCCTGAGGGACATCACTGATGACCAGCCACCAATTAAATTTTACCCCATTTACCACAACTCTCTGGGCCCGGCCATCCAGCCAGTTTTTCTCCCAGTGAAGAGTTTACCTGTCTATGCTGTGATTTGCCAGCTTCTCCATGAGAATGCTGTGGGAGACAGTGTCAAAGGACTTACCAAAATCTAGGTAGACAATGTCCACAGCCTTCTTCTCATCCAATATCTGGGTCACATGGTCTTAGAAAGATATTAGGTTGGCCAAGCAAGACCTCCATTTCATAAACCCATGCTGGCTTGCCCTGATCCCCTGGCTGCTCAGCACTTGCCATGTGAGCTCACTCAAGATGAGCCTATCCCTGATCTTTCCCAATACTGAGGTCAGGCTGACAGACCTGTAGTTCTCCAGATCCTCCTTCCAGTCCTTTTTGTAGATGGGCATCACATTAGCCAGCCTCCAGTCATCTGTGAGTTCCCCTGTTGATAAATGATAGATAGAAGCTTAACAAGCTTAACACTGTATTCCGTAAAAGCCTAGTCCCATTTTTGGTCGGGGGGAATTCCATACACTTTCCCTGGAGGTTGCTGGACCTTCTCTCCTCTAGCAGGGATTCCTGTGAGAGAGACTGATTCTTGAAAATTGTGATTCACCCAAGGAGACCATGCTGTAGCCTGGCAAAAGTGAGAAATACTAACTCTTTCACTGTCTTTATTACTAAAATTAACATTAAGTAATCTTCATTATTATGTTTAAGACTGTAGAATCCTTTAAAGGTGATAATTACTATTCTAGGCCTAGTATAGAACTTGATGATAAGTAAGTTGCTGGCATTTTAATGGTTACATTTTGTTGTTTCATTTAATCATAAGCAGTAAAAGTCACTGCTAATATACCCTTTGCATCCAAACTGCATTTCTGTTCTAATCTCCCAATTTCCCTACGCTTTTGCTGTACTTGTGCCTCCCATCCAAACAGTTAAGACCCCAAAATTCTATGAAATAAATCTTGATTACAGCATATATGTTCTTTCTGTCATCCGATGTCTCTAGAATAAGTATTCTAGAGACATACGACTCCTCAACAATGACCTTCTTTTAGTTTCGTACATTAGTGAAGAAGAATGGTATGGCAATACATCTGAAATAAATTTGAGAGTAATGCAAGGACACCTGTGAAGAGAAAACATCCATTAAGCTGTCTTAAGCAAGTTTGTTTTACTACCTGTCCAGAAACAAAAGTGAGTTCAATAGTCTATTCTTTTTTTTTTTTTTTCTTTTTCATTTTAAGAATAATAAAGAATAATATTGGGAAGGGAAGCTTAGCCTCTATCTAAAAATGTTGTTTGTGTAGTTGTGTAGATATAAGGATCTATCTGTACTATTACACTGACACTGAGTGTGCTGGTATAGCAGTTACTACAGTCATCACAACTTGTAAGTTCAAATCAGTACATGAGGTTTATCTTTTTAGTCCAAGTACAGTAGCTATGTTTGAGAGCCTTATTGTTTCTTTTCTTTGAGACACAGTGAGACACTGAGGCACAGTGTAAAAAAGAGAACATACAAGCATACAGAATCATAGATGTTGGACAAGAAGAATGCCTGGAATATCTAGTCCATTTCTCTGTCAAGACGGTGTATTTTCTCATTTTACTAATGCTTCACCCTGTGTAATTTTAAATGTTGGATTTAAAAGTAAACCATATCTGTGTATATAATTTTGTCTCCATTTTCAACAGTTTCTACTAAAAATGCATTTTTAAAAAAGGCCTTTTTGAGTAAAACTGACAAAGTAAGCATGCAAATTTAATCTGTTCAAGAATTTCAGATGTGCACAGGACACATGCTTGTGCAGAAGCAGAGTTCACCTGTTTCACTTTTGCAATTCAATTGCACAAGGAGTTTCTACTCTTACATTGGACAGAGATAACACAAACCCCTAAATTCTCATAATATCCCTTTATTGTCATGCATCTTATTTTATTTTATTTTTTTCTTGAATAACTCTGCAAAATAATTAGTTTCCTTGTTGTTGTTTTTGTCTGTCTGTTCCCTTGAAATATTTATAAGTTATTATCAAGTACTTTAAACTAGTTGGTTTCTCTGCCAGAAGGGAGATGGTAAATTCATAATGAAAACAGAATAGTAGGCCTACTGTGAATCCAGTTGAAGACTCCGTCTACCCAGATCTGACTTGCCTTTCAGGATTAGTTATATACCTCCTTTAAGTTTTCTGAATACAATTTTTCTACAGTTAATCAATAGGAATTTTTTGCTGTTGTGTTAAAAGCTTGCAAGAAGAATGTTAATAGGCCTTTCTGAGGCTCTACCACTTAATCCTGAGTGGTACTCCAATCATCATAGAATCACAGAATCATAGAACCATTCAGGTTGGAAAACACCCTTGGGATCACTGATTCCAACCATCATCCCTACTCTACACAGTTCTCCCCTAAACCATACCCACCCACACCCATCCAAATGACGCTTAAACACATCCAGGGATAGTGACTCAACCACCTCCCCAGGCAGCCTATTCCAGTGTCTAACCACTCTTTCTGTGAAAAAAAAATTCCTAATGTCCAGTCTGAACCTCCCCTGTTGCAGCTTTCAAGAGAAACACATGTATTTGAAGAAAACCTTGCTTCTTTGAGTTAAATAGCAGGGATACACATGGATCCAGACAACTAATTAAAAGATGCAATAAAACCAGCCTGTGACAGTTCCCTGCAGGCTGTTGGCAAACAAATAGGCACATATGGGAACCACCCACCCTCCCAAACTGAGTTGTTCAGCATAACATGAGAGAGACATGACAACTGAGATGAAACAGGAAGACAAAGAAGCAAAAGTAGTAAACATGACAGAAAATAAAAGTAATACAAATATGAGAATGGCATAGATTTAAAGCAATCTAGCAGAGGGGGAAAATGTTTACCATATATGAAAATGCTGAGTGCTTCTTTTGCATATGCTAGCTAAACAGTCACAATCCTTCAAAGCAAGCACGTAGATAAACACAGAAACTGACACTGAGCAGACCACGGAATTTTTGTGGGCTTCTATACAAACCATAAAAACGGAGACAAATTAAATACTCATTGTATTACCAATAGAGAAACGTAAAAGACTAAAAGAATCAAAAGAGATAAATTAATTTGTTTCACATCAGAATTGTCAGAGAGAAAACACCAGACAAGGAAACACTCTGAAAGCACCTGGGACCCGCCAAACTGGCAAAATACAAAAGCTCGCCCTTCAGGTAGCCAGAACAGGCACATATTGACTCAAAAGGAACTTAGTGAGAACTTTTAAAATAAATAAATATTTTTTTAATTAAATTGACTCAACATCATAAATCCCAACGAGCTACTCAGATGGATGAAAGTAATGCCAATAAAACCAGCATACACTCACTCAAGTTTCACAGGAAGGGATGATACATAATTTTGCAACATGATAAACACATGGTCATAGTATCCAGTTACATGAAGGATGACACTGAGAATAAAAAAGATTTCCTTCTTTATATTGCATCTCTCATATCCTACTGGTTGCCGTTTCTCTTCTATTGGAGTAGATCCAGCTGAGGAATAGATTATTGTTGGTAAAACTAGAAAAATATTTTGAAATATTATAAGTTTCCATAAGCCTTTATATGAATCCAAGTATCTAAGTGAACACAGTCAGTCTAGCAAGCTTGCATGTCTAAATTGAGCACTTTAAGTCATTTGTAGGTGAAAAGAGTCTTCTTATCAAAACACAAGACTGTAGGTATCATCCTGTTGTCTCTGCAGTCACTAACAGATTTCAAATATGAAAGCTCTGTCATTTTTTTCTGCCAAGTATGCACCAATCTCTGAAGGTTATTGGACATGCTCTTTGTGTAGCTGTCAAAAATTACCTGGGGTGGTCATTACTATTATTGTTATTATTATTAATTATTCTTTATCATTTTTTTATTATCTGATTTTTATTTAATTCTTTTTAACTTGTGTGAGGTTCTCATACATGATAGTGGTAGCCCAGGTTTGAAAGGCTGACTTTCTCTGGAGTCATATGTAGTCAGTGCTCACTGAATGCAGGAACACACTGTAACTGAACAGTGAGGCAACCTAATCTTGTAATGAAAAAGTGAGATAATCTGTAGGGCTGGAATTTCAAGAGGAAGGTCCTTGTGGAACTAGTCCCTCACCTACAGATTGAAACCACGAAGCAAATGAGCTTGAATAAATAAATAGCAATAGCTATTTGCACTTCAACAGACCACACCTGACACTGACCCATCACTAGCCAGGGCAGCCTGCACAGATCTACTAGAGTTGTAGCCATAAAAAAGTATCCCTCTTGCATGTCATTGCCCAGTATTTATTTTGACACTTGATAACAGCAGGCTCCAGCTTCTACGTAGAAACATTTTTCTTTACATTCTTCTTGCTGGACATGATGTGCCACCATGGGAGATATTCCTGTTAGTGCAATGAGATCTGCTTCCCACAAACCTAATCAACAACTCTTTTTCCAGTAAATACTGGGAATTTTGCCTTTTGTGGTATTTTGTCCCGGAAAGGCTCTGCGTACTCAGGGTTAGTTATTTGTTCTGAAAAAAAAATTAGTAACAGTGAAGAAAACAAGTAAATAATGTTTCCAGGCTAACCTAGCTTCATTGATGGGATGTAGATGTCAGTTGTCAGGTGAGAACCTTAGAGTACCTTTTACTCATAGGAAAGTCCACCAAACTTGCAGTTGGAATGAAATCTTTGTCAATGCCTTCTTTCTCTGGAAAAAAATCAGATATTAAATATCTTTCTCCAGACTTTCAAAAGACTGTGTATTTAAAGTTCAGTTTTAAGTGTCATAACATAAAATATTTTAAAATGTCAAATCTATTAGCTATTAGTAAGTAAGTTAAAGTGAGATTACATGCATTTTTTTCCACTTGTACTGAGGTTTGTGAAGGTAATATTTAGACTCGGGCCTGTACCCAGGGTTTCTTTCATCCAGAAATTTGAAAAATTTTATCCTATTATTTTCACTCCTTTGGACAGGATTAAATTTGGGCTGGGAAAGGTGAACTATGGTTTATTACACAAGAGGTCCTGGAGGCTGCACACACAGACTGGAATGTCTTCTTCTCTAGCTATGAAATCCATCATGCTTGGAGGTCTCAGCATTGTGCATTAAAACCTCGACATTAGGTGTTTGGCAGGAGGGAGAAAAGGACACCCATCACTATTCAGCAAAAGAAATAAAAAAAAAAATCCCCTCAGCTCCTTTGTCTCATGGTTTGATGTCCATGGTGGATCTGAAATATCAAGGAAGCATCATTTGACAGTGGCACAGTAGAGTGCCTAAAGTATACTTAGTGACAGGAATAATCTGGGCCAGTTTGTGGCTGTCCAGTCAAGTGGATGCTTTTAACAATTGGCACATAGCCAACAATACACACTAAATGTGAAGCCAACAACAAACAGTTTTCATGAGCCATGCTCAAAGATGTTCTATTATTCTATTGAACATGTTCTATTATGTTCTATTGAACATAATAAGAAAAACACCAGTGCTAAACAAAATCTAGCTCATCCAGGGTGAAAATCTACTATTCAAAGTTCACTGAAACACTCATTCAGACTTGAGAGACTGGAAAGAGTCACTGGTATCTTTAGTGGACTAAAACAGCGCTTTCAAGGTCAGAAGTGTGCTCTCTCATTTGAATATGAACGGAAGAACTAATGTCGAAGGACATAAACCTATGACTGCAAAACTACTTCTTTGGTTAGAAATGGAACATTTGCTGAAGTTTGTTTGCTTGTTTTGTTGTTTTTTTTCCCCTGAGCTACTTTGCCTACTTTATGTCCTGTGTTACACCTTACTGTGATCAGACATGACCAGCAGGGTTTCCTTAATCTCTTGCAGTCTGCAGACTCTTAGCTGGACTTCTGGCACCCTAGAAGAACACAGCAAGGTGCAGAATCTCTACCTAGAATCTCCAGTGTGATCCAGTGGAATGGCAAGGCTCAAACCCTTTACCTCTTTCCTTCCCATGTACATGAGGCATCTTAGTGCTCTGTAGCATGTACCTCTTTCCACATTTTCATCTGATGTGGGAGATAAAAATTGGAGTAGTTACAAAAGCATGATGGAGAAAGAGCTTACTGTTCCACCAATACCCATTGTTTTCTATTGTCCAGGCAGAAGATGAGATGTTTAAGGATACCCATCTTGTTCATAGTGATGACTGGTTCCACAACACCAAAAGCATGAACTACTTTCCATGGAAGCTCTCCATTCCAGTTCATTCCCATATCCCCTTCTTGGCAACATATCTTGATCCATGATTGCATTAACCTGCCATGAAATACTAGCAAAAATAGAGATCTGCTTTACTCAGTCCATTATATCTACATTTTTATCATCAGTATATTTTTTTTCCAAGATGCAAGAGAAAAAATGTGTACCTTCTGCTTACACATAGAAATGGACAACCTAGTTAAATCTACAAAACAGATTTTTTTTTTTTTTAGATTTAATTTGTTATGATATCACTCAGGAACTCCTCTTTGTTCAGGTTCTGCTGCTGTCTGTGGCTGACAAAGACTGCTTTATCATCAGTGTCTTGAAACAGGAAGTGAATGCTCCTAACCTAGCCAGCATCAAGCATGGTTGGCTTAACTATCTCCCTGTGCTTGAGTTCCCCCATACAATCCAGATCTGGTCAGAATCCTGTCTATGCCCTGATACACCAAATTCCAGTGTTGAATATGTCTCCTGTTTGTCCTCATCACAACCCCACAGGGTGTCACTGTGGACCTGGAAGGAGATAAAAACAGGTGACAGACTTTGCAGTTGAAGTAATATTAACTGCTGTATCTCTTTAGCAGATAAAACAGTTGTTTATGAATTGGGAAAAAGAAATAAAAAATTAAAAATTCCTTGCTAAACAGGGACAAAGAATCATCAGGTGTGGAAATCTAGAGAATAGTTTTATTCCCAGCCCCATTTAGGTCTGTTCAGTGCCCTTAGTTTCCAGCAATTCAAGGCCGCAGTGGAGGAGGAATATAATAGAATTTTCTTGTAAAATGTTAGGAAGTAATGGTTCTTAGCACACCTAATCCTGACCTTACATAATCTATGTACCACTTTCCTTGTAGGTAAAATATACTTCAGACAAAATAATTATTGTTGATAATGTATTTTTAATTAAAAGAACTGTTCTGAATTGCCTTTGTAGTGTTCTGGGTGTATGTATCCCTATAAACATGTATTACTACACATAGGTTATTTTAGTTTAATTATGGAACTAGGTATTTCATAAAGCCAGCCTCTCATTTACCTCCTTCTGAACACTTACTAACTTCTCTATTAATTACTTCTAATTATCTACTAAAATTCATAAAACAATAAATTAAATTAAAATCTAGCAATGAAATCCAGATGGTCAATAGGGAAAAACGGACCATACCTAGCATTTTTACTGCCTGCTGGAACAGACCTGACTTCTTACATACAGAACCATAGAATCACGGAATGGTTTGGGTTGAAATGGGCTAAAGTTTAAAGGTCACAGTTTGACTCAGGATCGGCAACTAGACCAGTAACGATAATGTTCTCAATCCCCTCCCACCCAGGCAGGGAAAGGAGAGACAATAACGAGAGACTTTCCCGATTGGAAACTAAACTAGACAGCTTTAATTAAATATTAATGATAAAAGAAAACATGTACAAATATATACAAGCATGTGCAGGAATGTGCAAAACCCTATCACCTCCTCCTACCTCCAGCAACTCCCATGGCATTCTCCTTAGCTGTGAGCAGTTGCAGAATATCCCAGAGTGCTGCTGGAGATAGAGGCAGAGCAGACAGGAGCTGAAGGTGGAGTTATGAGGGTCAGGAATGCACAAGCCTAGGGATCAATAGTGATGGATAGATGAAGACTTGCCCAGATGCCAGCCATGGAAGGAAGAGAAGAAGAAGGAGGAAGGGGCCTGACTTCTGTGATCCCTGACCTTATACCAAGCTTAGGTAGATAGATGGAATGGAATAACTTGGTCAAATTTGCTGTCAGTCTAGCTCACTTGTCCTTGTGGGAGGGCTGCAAATACGACTCTCCTGCTTCTCTAGCATCTGAGGCTGCAGAGCAAAGTGCCCTTGATGTCTCGGCAGTAACATAAACATTCCAGCGTTACCAGTCCGCTAGCTGGAAAATTTGCAGCATGTTAAAAGAGAGCTCACTGAAGAAAAAATACATTCAGGAAAAATAAAACTGGCTCCATGCTGGCTCAAACCAGGACACTGTCCAACACCCCTGAAGTGAACAGGGACATCTTCCACTACCTCAGGTTTCTCGAAGCCCTATCCAGCGTGACCCTGAATGTTTCTAGGGACTGGGTTTCTGTGACCTCTCTAAGCAACCTGTTGCAATGTTTCACCATGCTCATCGTAAAAGATTTCTTTCTAACAACTGATCAAATTCTACTCTCTCAGTTTAAAACTATTACCCCTTGTCCTATTGCTACAGACCCTTCTGAAAAGTTAATTTCATCATCAAGATTTCATCCTTGAAGGTTGTTTTTTTGTTTAAAACAATGTAATTTGATAATTTAAAAAATTGAATCATTTGCAAAAACACAGAGAAGCAATTAATTGTATATTCATACATTGTGTTCTTGTAATTAACCTTTCCAAACTTGATAAATAAGCTGATAAATAAAGTTCTGATTTTTATTTATGGTTTTCACCACGATGTAACTTTGCTGTGAAAAAATGAAAAGTCTTACATAAAACATTAATTCACTAAATGCAGTACACAATCCATTTATCAACCTTGTGAAGTACATAGCTTATATTATATGCCAAAAGTCACATGCTGGTATATCTACTAAGTACAGATATACGCTGAGGCACTATGCTCCATTTGAAACACTACCTACATCTTAATATTACTTTTGATGTACATGCTGTTTGACATGAATGCTACTAATTACATTTTTAATTTGTTTTAGATTAATTTAATTTATATTGCCTTGTGAGTTTAAACATCTTAAAAATTTGAATAGCTCAAACTACTACCTTGGGCTTTTGGTAACTTTTTAATCCCTTGCTATTAACCAAATTTTTTGTTTATCAGTCTCTGTGGAAGTACAGTTTGCATGCATATTCACTCTTGAAACTTCGAAGAGATAAATTTTACTACTGACCTCATTAAGAGAATGTGAAGTTTCAGATCTCTATCTTTACAGATGCAGAGATAACTCCCCCCCAAAAAAAACCCTAAACAAAAAAAAACCCAAAACCTAAAAAAAACCCCACCCCATCATAGTGAAAAGGGACCACTACTGAGATTTTCAGCAAAGTATACAATAGTGGTTTCAATCTCGCTCCTGGGCATTTCTTCAGTATCAAATCTTAATTTAAAATTATTACAATAGCAGACTTGTTTCAGGACGACATTAAAAATGTGCATGTCAGTCAAAGCATTTTTCTTTTGTTGTTGCTGGACTTACATTAGTGTTTAGAAGTGTAGACTATTTCTATTAGTAGTACAACAAAAGTTTCACAAGCAGAAAAGATGTTATTTGCATTAGTATAAAACCTAACATATTGCAACAATTTGCTGAAGTAAATGAGAAAAAAACAAAAAATAAATAGACTGTCTCAAGAGTTTTATTTTGATTTTTGACCACTGTTTACTTTCAGGGCTTAAAATAGACTCTAAACAAAACAATTCACATTGGGTATAAAATTTTCACAATTATTTACTTATTTTAGGACAAACTTAACCCAAACTGACTGTTTATTCTAATTAAATGATTACGCATGCATGCATGTGTGTCTATACATGTGTCAAGATTCTCTGGCCCTACAGGCTAAAGGCTCTAGAAAACTGGTTTCCCATGAAGGAAAAGGAAATAATTTCATTAAATTGAGTCAGATCTTTTCATTATCAAAATCTCCAGGAAATAAGATGTGTTATCACATATAAACACATTATCATTAGCATTATTTAATACAGAAAGCAAAACTTTCCTGTTGTGGTTGAGGGGCTGCTTTCAAAACAAGGCTGCTGCAAGCAAGTCATGATTACCACACAAGTAAAACAAACTTCCCAGCAGTAGCTGTCACTTAAAGACACACATACTGTTCTGAGGGTCCATCTTACTGAGTTCCTCTTCAATTTGAGACATTTACTTTCTAAGAACATGCAGCACAGCACAATTGTTTGGAGGAAGGTTTCTCCATTTTGTGTAAGTTTGGTTGTGTTCACTGTCTTCCCAGGTAAAAGCATGCTCCACCACCTCCAAGAGGGAGGCAGGAGTTCCAAGTAGAACTGACAGATTATCTCCCCTTCAACAGCTCTGTCTTGATTGCATTATTCTGTGCTGAACAGAAGACGTAGGGTCCTATTCAGTATGGTTGATTGAAATAGATGCCTACAATCACATTAAACCTCTCAGAAACACTAAGCCCTTTGTGGAGTTAAATATGTAGGCAAAAGACTGGCATTAAGTTACAGTGAAATAACCCAAATTTCTCTTAAAACATATGAGGTTTTATTGTATCCTTCATTTAATTTTGCAGATCTTCTGCTCACAATAGTACTGAAATAAAAATATGTGACATGAGGGAGAAAGGGGTGCATTTACCTTCAAAACCACTGATATGCCATATTATGCCATAATGAGTTGTAGATGTCAGCTAAATTAGTATTAAAAAAAAATTAAAACCATTTTTATTTTTAAAACTTTCTTTAAGAGGTTTGACAATTGGACAAAGGTTTTTTCATTGGAAATACATATTCTTCTGTGTGCTGACTTCATATTTCATATTACATCTTACACTTAGTTTTATAAATAGATGTATAATTAGTTGTGTTCATGTAGGTATTTCTAAAGCATCAGTTTGATGAAGACAATGTTTAATTCCTGAAACTGGTTTAATTGCTCCTTTCCAAATATTAAATAGATATTTTTTTTCTTGGAAGCATGTGATAAAACTGCTACATTTTCTACAACCTGGAATCCTCTTAATTATTCAGTAATCGATTTTCAGACCATAAATTGTTAAAAATTTGCAATGATTTTTCAGATTCCAGTAACTATGTACAACTGAATCCTGACAGTGTCAGTAATTATTAAATTATTCCTATTGTGTAAATAGTGCTTTGTGAAAACTTGAAGAGCTATGGACTGAATAAAGCACTACTTTTCAACACAATTAAAGGCATATACTGCCTTCGGCAGTTTTTACTGCTGATGAGCAAACATACCCTTAAGTGGTTTTAGAGATTAGAAACAAAAGAAAAGC